CTGTGTAAAGAAAGGAACATAATTTTAAATCTCAAAAATTCAAGGAACAGAACAATTGTTTACGACACATGTTTGTAAAGAAAATAGTGCAGTTACGTCAAAGTTCGTAATTTACCTTTACAGTACAAAGGTAAAAGAGCCTTCAAACTAGACTGCTGAACTAAGAGCCAACAACAGCTACATTTTAACCTTTCATTCAAAAACAAACAAACAAAAAAAATCACCATAATTATATGGAGGCCTACTTGCCCCATCTACTGGCCATTGGGGAGACTGGATTTACATTGCCATTAAAAGCATCATCACCAGGGCAACAATTCAGTCAAATCTCAGGTTATCAATTTTAAATTTAAACACATGCGTAAGTGCTACTAAACACGTAAGTGCTTTACCAAACTGGAGCCTGAGGTCAATTATCTAGCATCGGAGAAATAGAAATAACAAACAAAGAGAAAAATGTATTATTTTCAAAGGAAATACTAGGGCAGTCTATTCAGTAACACTAGTTTGTTAACCTTGAAAAATTAAATAAATATGCCTTCTTTTGTTCTGAAGTGGGCCAAGGTAAATTAATGCTATAAGATAGCAGCCTGCAGAACCCTTGTCACAAAGCAGCCATATATACTGCAGCTCAGTAAGGTCATCACAAGGTTACCATGCCACCTTATGGATTTTTAAAATACATATTTGTTTAATAAATAGTTACATAGCAAGTTAGGTTCCCTAAAGGCCCATTGACCTTCTATTTTTCTTCTCTGCATGCAGTGAATCCATCCTTCTGAAGTGGGTCTGTTCCTCTGAGGAACAGGCTGACGTCTAAAGGGAAAACAAAGTTTGAGTTGACTCGATGAGACTTTTTACACTACGCTAGAAGGAAGACTTGCTGGATTTCTCTCTTTTAGCACATGCCTCACTCTCATCATGTTCTTCAAGGGCAGTGCTTGCACTGGTAATGTAACATCCCTCTGTTCTATGACCTCCCATGCTGGTTGCAAATTCAATTAGATGTGCCTAGAAAAGAGCTGCAGCCAAGGGAAAGAGCATCAAATACCCTGGCAGCAAGCTTCCCACCTTGACTGGCATTGCTGACACACCTGCAAGCTGACTCACCATGACATCTTACACACAGCCATCCTGTCTCCATGTGACCCCAGCAAGCCTCTGACAGTCTGCTTAGGCAGATACTCAGTATGCAACTGTATTTCCTGCAAGGCACACAAGCCTCCCCCTCAAAGGACTTCTGGGTTTAGTAGATTCTAAGCAGAAACAGGACTATCAGCATGTATATCTAGGCCAGGCATGAAAGTTCAGAGAGGCATTAGTGTCACACCACAACAGAGAAGGATGAACCACCTTCTTCAGCAAGCAGAGCTCAACACTGTCTTCAGGAAGTACAGGCGAAACCCTCTGTTTTGAGAAGCTGTGACTCTAGTTACCCAGGAAACTGTAAGAATAAACTGGCCACAGCAGGCAAAAGACTGTAAAGGAGGAGAGAGAACACCATTGCAGCTCCACTGAGCCTCATTCAACTCAGAGGATAAATCTGAGAAGCAATACACTTAAATATATCACTTCTATAGCAGACAGGGAAAGAAATCATTTGCAGTAGATCTAGACCTGCTGGTAAACCAAGTGATGGGTTGCACATGAAATTTCATAAAGTACATGCACTGCTCTGAGGATCATCACAAGAGGTCTACTTAGTCTCCTCCCAGAAGTATATGAGTTTTGCCTTAAGGGGATGGTCAAATGTTTCAGAAATCACTCAAGTCCAAACCCTACAATGCAAAAGAAAAAAAAAAAAAAAAAAAAAAAAAAAAAAAAAAAAAAAAAAAAAAAAAAAAAAAAAAAAAAAAGACAACAGTGCCTTGGTGCAAATGCTTGTACAGCCACTGCACACAATTACAATGTAAACTGGGATCCAGCATTTCTAGATGACATCCCTAAAGGTCACAAAAAGGGCCAAGAGATTTTGCAGCTGAAGCACGTTAATATCTAACACTAGTTATCTAGGGACTGAGGTAAAAGAAATACTGTCAGTGTCCAGAAGTATCTTCAAGGAAAACCCACTGAAGACAGGTCTTGATGGCTACTTCTTTGAGTTCTCTGAGCATCACAAGCTTGCTGAGAGGTTCCTTGCAGGCATGCAACCACTTGGCATGCTTGCACTAGATATCAGGGGAAGAAAACAGCTGACAGCTGAGGTGTCACTTGGAACAGTACACAGAAATGAGGACTACAGGCAGTGCCAAGAACTGCTTGCAGTGCAAGTTGGTTTCCTCAAGAGCAGGTGTTTTGGGAGTCCTGTATCTAAGCTCACCTGACTTTCTCAATATTGACTTCCTCAATAATTCCTCATCTGCATGGGACAAGTAGCACCACTTAAGAGTACTTCAATTCTTCAGCCTATAAAACACTGAGCAGTAGAATAAAGGCCAGTATTTACACCTGAGAAAACAGGTGCCAACTCTGCCTGGGCTTGTGAATTCATGCACAAGTCTCTGTACATGAAGACCCACCCAGAGAAATACAACACCCAATAGCTCAGGATTCATCTCTCCTGAGATGATGCACAACATTCTGCTCCCTGAGCTTCAAGTCTGTTGTGCTGGGAGGACCCCCTGAGGGCAGCTGGTCATGTGGAAGCTGCTAGAAAAGGAGCCATAGCAGACAGCTGTGAAAGAGGCCACCCTGCTGAAGAAAGACACAGAAAGGATGCCAGCCCATTTTTAATGGCCACAGAGTAGTACTGCTCTCAAAAACAGCCTCCACAGACGAGAGTCAGACTTCACTAATTCTCTAGTCCCTCATGGCAGACACCTTTGACAGACCAAGTTCTGGCTTATTAGGCTGGGAAAACCCACTCTGTTCCCTATGCAAAACCAGATTTAGACATCTGACTTACATCATGGGCCCAAAGCTTATTTTGTCAATCCAAGCTGATAAATAATCCTGAAACTGGCAAAACCAAATGTTTGGCAATAGCTTTGAATATAAACCAGGCTCTAATTGAAAGCTACTACGAAGACTGCAAATAAACCTTGTATTCCTTCTTTCACTGTTGCCATCAAAGTACATGAGACAATCCTTATCCCACTACTTCCTATCTCTGTCCTATTTTCAGTGTTCAGAAACAATTCTCAATTCTTATTTGCATTGTACTTGACAGATTGATGACCCTTTTATTTCCTTTTCACAAAACAAGGTGAATGAAACATCGTTGTTCCTCATTGTGAATAACAGCATAATTAATTACACAGTACCTTTTAAGGAGAAAGTGTAGCACTGTTCTCTGAAATAATTTTCTTGGTTACATAACAGAACTAAAATACAATTTGTCTTCAATTTTTTCCTGGGAAGAAAGTCTACATTCTTCAGCTGTGAACTTAGATTACTGCTTTGTTTTGGGGGTTTTGTTTATTTTTGTTTGCTTGTTTGTTTTCTTAGTAAAAAGAATAAAGCACAAGAAGAATACAAAGATAGGATTCTCTAGAGAGTGTACCACATATTTTGTATCAAAAGAAAATTTGTTTCACTGGAAAATAAGCAGTCCAGAAAATGCTAAATGAGAAGTTTCACTCTACATCTAGACACCTAGGAGTAGGCAGCTATCCAGCAGACTAGTCCCTATTTTGGGGATTCTTCTGGAGTGCAGGGGTAACTATATCTTTAGCACCAGACACACTAAAATTCAAGACAAAAGAAACATGCAAATCAACTGATGTATCACTTCTTGCAACTACCACAAAAAAAAAAAACCACATTAAAAATATTCTTAAAGGTGTCACTCACTCACCAGGAAATAAACATCTGAAGGACTGGAAACCACTGACACTGTTGTTTTCCAGCTCCTTGCAGAAGTCCGGCAGCACCTTTCCAAGCACCACCTGCGTCAGGGCACACTATAGTGTCCCACAGGCTCAGCTAGCTCACTTTGACATAGAACAAGGCATAGGTGCTGGAATTGGCGCAGGTGCTGGAATCAGCCCAGGGGATCAGTCCCAGCTGGCACATCTAAAATGATTTCCAGACCAAGGGAAATGAGAATCGAGTGTTTGGAAAGACCTTGCGTGTAGGGACTTTCCAAATGTTAGTAGCCCTTCTTTAGAGAATTAGAAATACTGACTGGTCTGAAAAGCAATAATTGTGTGGACTCTTTGAAGTCTACTGGAGGGTTGATTCTCTTGTTGTGGACTGGACTGGATTGGGCTTGGAACCAGCCCGTTCCTTTGCTGGTGAATTTGCACAAACACGACTGTGGCATTTGCTTTGCTGGGTGGAAAGAGATGTGACTACCACTCATGCCCCACTGCATGGTTGCCTTCCCAATGCCAAAGCCCTTCTGTCAGTGAGGCTTCAAAAGGGGGTATGGTTGACCAGTTCACCCAGAAATAGCTCCTCACCTCTCCTCTTCAAATACCTCTTGGAAATCCTGTTCCATCCATACTTTTACTAGGAGCCGATTCCTTCATCTGCGGTGGGAAAAGCAAATAGAGCTCTCTAGATTTTCTTCGCTTTGAATGAGAGTATTCATTGAACAGGTCCCGCTCAGGTAAAGACTGAGACTTCACCATGACCTTCCACTTCCTTAAAAATACTGCAGGCTGAATAGAGCCTCCTGGCAAGACAGATGAATCCAATGCAGATCCCAATGCTGGTGCCCTCAAGTGAGAATAGAGACTTATTCTAACATAAATTTATTGTTATCTAAGTAATGCACGGAAAAGGGACAAAGGTGAATCCTTGAATCACTGTAAGGATACTATTTCTCTAGGGCATGCATGTCTCAAGTCCAGAGATATCAATACCACAGTCCCTGGTATATTCTAACAAGCTTTGCACCAACACATATGATGATACTTCCACCTACACTTCAGATAAGTACGTACCGATTCTGCAGTGCTCCTGGAGAAAATGATCTTGTGTACTGACTTATCTAAGCTTGAGGAACTAGCTACAAGACAGCACATAATCCTGAGACATCAAATAACCCTTAGTACCTTGATCTAACTCCAGAGTCAGCCCTGTTTTGAGCAGGGAATTAGATTCTTTCATTCTCCAAGTGTCATTTCCAGGGTATAGTCTGTGATTTTGTGACACGACTGCTTTCAAGACAGCACATCTGTGAATAAACAATGGAAAGATCTCAGATTTGGGATTGGGAGTTCAATTAGAATTAATGTAATCCAGGCAAAGATTCTTGATGACCCTTGCGATCAATTAAATGCACAGTAGAAAAACATTGGACAGATGCCTAACACTCAGAGAAGACTTCTGGGATTATGTTTTCACGTTGTTTGAGGCAAGGATATCCTTTCCTATGCATAATTCCTCTTCAGAAACTCCCTGTCACTTTCTACAACAGAAAATATACAGCAATATTGTACTAAACATAGCATTTCCCCGGATATCCAGAACCCACAAATATAAGTTTATCTATTCCTTATTGTATATGAAGTATCACTGTCATGTTTACTACAATGATACAAGATGGTAAAGCCATTAGCGTGATGAGGAAGACTTTCAACGTAACAGCTGGCATTCAACACAGAAATATAAATAAGAAGTTGTCCATAAAGAATACACACTTGGAATATGCAGATGATTTTAAGGGCTGTCCCCTGCTGTGTGCCAGGAAGAGAAATTTAATGGTAACAGGATAGTCAACACATTAACTAACACTAAGAGAACAGAGGGTGTGACTCCTAAGTCCAGGTAAAATTAGCAAAGCAGGCATAAATATTATCATACCTCTGGTATACAGTAGAGGTACAATTTCATAAGCATTTCATACACAAATGAGACTATTTACCCAGAACACAATCTTGAAAATGTCAGAAGTTATTTTCAGATAGCTGGGATCTGACAGGCCTGCTTGAGAATTATTTCAGGATAGAGTGAAGAAGATTTCCATACTGTAAGTTGGAACTACAATTTTTTCCTTGATTTATCTCAAAAACTGCAGAGGAGAAAGAATTCCTGAATCTGGAAAGAATTAAGTGGTTGAAGCCTCCATACTTCTGTTGGAGACATCTGCCCTAAGAGCCATGTTCCTAAGCAAGGCAGTCCTAAATGTCTCTTTGGAATGAAACTGGTTTTGTGGTTATGCATTTCTGTACTACCAGCAGAACACTTAACATGGACACTTCTGGTACTGTAACTGTCTGCCTGCAAACATAGGTAGAAAAAATCATCTAGAAGATGAGAAATTTTGCATTGATTCAGGGCTAGAATTAGAACCTGGTTGTGAAGATTCATGGTAGTTTCAACAGAGAGTTGCATGCCAACTTATTATCTTAGAAGACAGAAAATAATAGCAACAAAACATCTTTTGCTCTTCTGAGACATAGAGACAATCAGAATTTTATCTAGACCATGCCATCACAGGAAGATTCCTGAAAAAGGATGGGCAGAGTGACTGATGGTAAATAGGGCATGAAATGGGATAAAGATATCCTTAGAGTTTCTAGGATCCAACAGGGCATACAGATCATAATCCAAGTACTTCCCAAAGGATGTCACACTTCATGAATGAATCACAAAGTGCCATCAGTGTCATTCATCTAAAACTGGTGGCACAACTGAAAAATTTTATTTTTACCTTTATCTGTATCTCTTCTGTGATCCCAAAGGATTGAAGCAAAGTGAAGCTTCTTATGTTCTTCAAAGCATTCATTATCTGGTTGTCATGCCTGCCTTGTCAGGAGCCTTTCTAAGAGACAGGCACCCAATGACCTGTGGAAACCAGAACTAGGTGAGAACACCTTTGCATCCCCCAAACAATTTTGCTAATGAATGCAGATGTGACCATTCACTTAATCACATTTTGTCAATTGGACTTGCTTGCTGCCTTTCCTCTTCTCCAAGTCTGATGAGTGATATTTTTCTGTCTAAATAAATCCATCCTTGTGTTCTTATACTATTTATGGCAATTTTCTATTAGCCAAGCCTGGTTCTTATAAGTCACTAATCAGTGACAAAAGACAGGATGATTATTAACTTCTGAGCTTTTTAAATAAACTGATTGCAGCAAACATCTTCCCACCTGGACTGGGGAGGCAGGTCATTCTCTGATGTTTAGGTACATCTAACAGAATGGTTAATTTTATGTGCATCATGATGCATCCAGACAGATGGAGTATGAGAATGTCCAGGTACTTCTTTGGAAAACATCTGTCTACCTGCTCTTTTTTCCAGAAAAGCACACAAGAATCATAGCAAACTGTGACATAAAGAAAAGTGGGGACAGTGAGAAGTCCCAAAGTAGAACATGTCAGAGTATTAATTGTACTACCTAATCAGGTAAACCAGCTTGCCAACCTGACAAAAATCCGGGGGATATATTCCCTCTGGACTTTAGCAAAGCATTTGGAATGATGTCACACGGGAAACAATTAATAGCTGCAAGAACTGTATGCCAAGAATGAAAGTAGCTAAAAGCGGAAATGACAAATGGGAAGTCATTGGCCTGGATGGATTTTACTGGTGGCATTCCTCAAAATACTTTCCCAGGACAAATTTAACTTAATTTTTTGGCACAAAAGTCAAAGTACACTAATGAAATTTTCTGATTAAACAACTTGAGAGGCAATGTCAGAGCAAAAAAATAGCTGGAATGGTAGCTATGGGTCAAAATTTAACTGCTAAGTGCAATAAAGAATAACAAGTTTTTGCACTGCACCAAAAGCTTGTTAACTGGAAGCAACCAGGAGGAACTCTGAGACATATGGCTAGGATTGCCAGACTTCATGTATGGGAATGTGTCCCTCAGATCCTCACAGTTCCTTGCAGGCTCCTTCATTTAGTGGTCATGCTGGCATTGTTGCTTTGATCCAGAAGCAGAGAGAGGTAGGCAGGCAGGCAGCAGAGGTCACAAAATCACACAACCCTTATTAAAAACATACAGAAAATGCAAGGAGTAGAAATGTCTCCCAAAGGTTCTTAGGTGGGACGTGGGATTTTGGGTAAAAAATTCTTTGTTATGGAACATCCAGCCACTCACATGATAACTGTAAGAATCAGAGGAAGACAGAAGCAGACAGTGGAGATTCTAAGATTAGCTGCTTTCCAGGCTTCAGAGGACTCCTAATGGTACTGTTTCAGCCAGAAATGTTACAAGTTACAGTTCTTGTATGAACCTTCCTCCTACCTGTATATGTGAGGAGTTACGGATCTAGAGCTGGCCTGCCACAATCACTGGCACCTGAAAATTCATACAGAATAGATAAGGTAGCAAATACTTCTGGTTAACATCCGTAGTGGTTTCTCTTCACCAAGAGTGGAAGAATACATTCCTAGACTGTGCCTGAGCCATCCACTTTTGGGGCACTGAGAAGTCTTCTTACAGGAATTTCTGAAGCAAAGGGAACACCTTCCTCCCCTACCTTGACTGGCATTGCTGATACTCACCCTTCTGAATTATGGAAAGAAGCTGATAGAAGGCATCTTCCCCTGTGACCTGGGGCCTGACAGACACTTTTTAGCACAAGGTCCTTTCCAGCACAAATGATTCTGTGATGTTTGGCCTCTTAAGGTAGGCTAGAGCAAAGGAGAGCTATGAAATTCCTCCTCAGATACTCTCTTCTCATGTTAACTTTGTCTTGCCTAGGGACTTTCTTTAGAAAGGTTTACTTCCAAACTGCTGGGGAGGAAACAAAAAAGAGGTCAAGAGGTAACCCAATTTGCTCTGCCCAATCTGCTTGCCTACAAAGGCTGTATGCCAATGGATTTATGTCCTGCGTTCCTCATGCTCCCATTCAACTGAATGCTGTCTCCTCTTCACATCCACCACTCCACTTCCAAGAAGTGTTCCTCCAGGGCTACAGGAAAAACACTCTTCCCAGCAGTATCTGAAGTTCTTTCTCACCTCCTTTCACTGTGCCCCAACCTCCTCTCCTCAGTACCTGTAACTCTTAGAAGGTTTTCAGTTGCTTTTTTGGCATGCCAAGGTCAGAAGGGAGGACCCAGTGTTACAGAAAATAAGGGAAATAGCAACTTGAAATATTGAAAATTGCTGAGTCACAAAAATTGCTGAGGCACCTGGACCACTAAAAAAAGCTGACCAATTTTCTGCTTTTTTGTATAGCTCTACAAAACATTCCCATTGGGTTGAATTTAAACTTACTCATATTTACAATTCTTCCAAACAAATTAGTATTGTGAAAAACAGATGAGTTTTCTGTTTGCCTCCCAAAATTTAAAATTTTCATTTTCATAACATAGTATTTCAGCAGTATAAAGATCTAGGAAATTTCATTGTTATTTTCTTTTGGAAGATTCCTCAAAACATTTTAAATTCCTGAATACCTGAATGAATTCCTGAACCAAAATATCTGATTCTCACACAAATTCAGACCAATTTTTCCTAACCTTGAAGAACACTTCTCACACAAGAAAAAAAATGTTTTCTAGCATCAAAAAACCCCACACTCCTGTATTTTCCTTCAATTGCAAATAAGGGGAACACTGCTTATGGCTATTTTACAGATGGAACTGAAGGTCAAAGGCTAAATTACTTACCTGCTGCCAGAAAAAGCGGGGTAGAATATGGAATTGACTACAACAGTCCTATTTTCCAAGACAGTGTCTTAAACACTGCACCATTTTTCTTGCAAGGCCCACACAGTCTGCACTATGGAGAAAGAGACCTCGGATCACAGGTCCGACCTAAGCTTTGACCTGAACTTTGTGTTTTGCTCTCATCTGCTGTACGTTGTCCACACAGAAACAGTGTATATTCCACAGCACTTTCTCAGAAGCTGGAGAATAATTTCCTTCCACTAACAAACATACTTTTTTGGGTTGTGTGGAACAACAGAAAAAGCCAATACAGCTTTTCATTTACTGCTGCATCTGCATGTTAACATGAAGGTCAGTAGGAGTGTACACAATACAGAGAAAATGAGTAGTTAATTATTGCTAGACTGCAAGAAGGGAAAACACATGCTTTAATCTGGTTTAGAAAAGAGCAAATCATGAGGACTGCTTCTTCTGGGCTGTTTTTTCATAGGAGGACATACATAGAGTAAAATTCACAATAACTGGAGGCTATTTGATGTGCTTTGAGCATCACAGATAAAATCCCTTCTCATAATTTGGAACAATTTCAGTAAATAATTACAATATTCAGCAAGAAGAATGCCATTTGATTTTTTCAAAATCCTATGGGATTTTTCTTGCTGAATATTATACTCATTTATTGAGATTGTTCCTTCTTGCACATGTGTATAATCTGGCAATCTGCCCATGTATTTTGCTATATTAACTCCTTAAGTGTTTGTACTTGAAGGTTTCATTGCATCATCAACAATCTGCAGTGCTTCAAAACTAAGCTGTGTTTAGACCTAAATGCTTGATTTGCTCTTTATGGAACAAGTTTTAATAATTTCAGAACATCAGCATATAGTAGGCCAAAACCTAGTACAACCAGTTTCTGTTGGGATGTCAAACAACTGTTTAACACTTTTCTTCGGTCCTTCAAGGGTTGAAGGTATATTTGCTATTCACAATCCAGCTATAATAAATAAGCAAAACACATTCATGTAACAGGATAGAGATAATGGCTTTAAAAATATTTTAAGAAGGCATTTTTATCAAAACAATCAGAGCAACTTGACCAAAACTAGCAAATCTAGTTGCTCTGCAGAACCCAGGCCTAGTTCCTCCCAATCACCAAATTAACAGCAATTGGAGATTATGAAAGTAGTGAAGAACTCCTACTTCCAGAGCAAGATAAGAGTCCTGGAGAGCACAGTTCACTACATTGAACTTCACTTGTCACTGGGTACCTGGAATAAGAGGCTTATGTCAAGCATCCATGAGCAGAACAAAGCATTGTCTCAAAGTCAGCTGCAGGACTAGAACATAACACATGAGAATTGGGCAAGTCTCCAGGCAAGTGGCACATGCCAGAGCAATCAGAAAATTTCAGTGTAAATTCTGGAAAATTATTGCAGTACGTACCTTGTTGACTTTGTAGTTTTACTCAGAGAGAATAGCAAAAATGTGAAAAACACATTCACTATTCTAATGCTTTAAAGCCATGCTCCATCAGCCCACTTTATTAGGTGGAACATGAGTGGGAAGTGATGCTCGTTAATACCAACGTACACTGTCACTTCAGTAGTATTCAACTGATATAAACGGCTCTAAATTCCATACAAATTGGCAATCACAAAACTTACTGAGCTTTCCTACACCAGAAGGAATTTATGTTCATGACTAACAGATATGTATAGTTCTATAAATGCTAAATAACTGAGTTCAGATTCAAAATCAAATGTTTTGCGACATTTAAGTAATATGAAGGCAAAAGGCTCAGCACTTGCCACCAGCAGCCACTGTTCAGAAACCATCTAACATTTTTCTAGGCAAGATCCAGACTCAGCAAATTGCTCAACTTCATAAAGCAAACAAGAAGAGATTGTCTTATCTCTTAACCCCAAACTAATCTCTGTCACATCATTTATACTGATGGTTCCACACTTCCATGATATATGATTTTTAAGCATTTGTGTCACCAGGTGACAGAAGCTGCATCACGGAAAAAAAATTCCCATTCTCTGAAAACTCTTTGGTTTGCAGCTTGTCAGTTATAGACAGAGTATCTGCATTTCAGCAATGTTTTATTTTCACTGAGGAGGTGGTTTTGATGAAAAAACTTTGCTTAAGTGGTCTGATGCATGAATGTTTTGTTCAAGAAAACAAAAAAAACAAGGCTCCCTCATTTCTGGAGTCTCACTGAAGAAAGGTTTAAATGATAAAAAATCCCCCTTTTCAGCCCTACTCTTTTTGCAGCAAATACTGAATTAGCTTTTTGACAGTGTTGCTCTGTTCCATGCAGTGCAAATACAGACTGAAAGAGGGTGGGTTTAGATGAGCTATGAGGAAGCAGCTCTTCACTATGAGGGTGATGAGGCACTGGGAACAGGTAGCTCCGAGAAGCTGTGGATGTCTGGAAGTGCTCCAAGCCAAGCTGGATGGGGGTCTGAGCAGCCTGGTCTAGTGGAATGTGTCCCAAATCATGGCAGCAGGGTTGGAACTAGATGAGCTCTAAGGTGCCTTCCAACTCAAACCAATCTATGATCCCTACACTGAATGAGTACACTCACTCTGGCTCCAACTACAATGCAAAATGACCTGAGAACTCACAGGAATCAAACATGGCCACATTTTCCCAGTGAGCAAACAGAAAATATTCTAATACTTAGAGCGATAATAGAAGACTAAATAAAAACTAACTCAGAGGAGGAGAGGTGTGTCTGAGAGGAAGAGTAATGATAAAGGTAGAAATAGAATAGCAAGTAGCAGAATGGCAGCTTGGAAAATAAAACTGTAAACACGGAGGCTTTCATCTGTTGTCCCAATAAAAGTGTGTGACATCCAAAAAGATGACAAACACCAGGTAATGTCAGGAGTAACACTCTGAGCGTACATTTTTCAAAACATATTGGATTCTGCAATGATCTTTAAAATGTTATGTGTCATAATTCTACTTACTTAACTACATAAATTTTCTCCAAGTTGAGTCTGTTTGCCTGCAAGAGTAACTGGTAAGAAACCTCCTCGTGTTTATCCAGACCCACAAGCTCTGTCATTCTATTTACTCCCCTTTCCCTGTGGAGGAGCAGGAGTAAGAATGGCCAGGGGGACACCTGGCAGGCGGCCAAGGTACCTTCCATATACACTTGCGAAACAATGAAAAATAGTGCACATTGGTTTAAAAATTTTAATGTCCAAATTTACACTCACCATATTGTAACTTTCAAACTAGGGAGGAAATTGCAGCAATCTGTACGATTTATTCTATCCATAATTTACTCAACAAGTGTCTACAGATTAGAAGCAAATCCTTTTCCCTTTTCTCAAGGAAATAAGTATTCTCCATTTCTATACTCAATAATCATTCAGCTTTCTAACAGTCTGTGAGCTATGCATCAGCATTCTCTCTCAAAACTAGCCTGGTTTTATCTCTTGGGATTCCAACCAGTAGCCTTTGTTGCTCCTTGTGTGACCACACAGCATAATCAGAATTCTCTTCCAGTGACACCCAAATACACACTTCAGTGAAAGAAGCAGCAGCTGAAGGCGTCCATCTTCAGTTTTGCAATACACCCAGCCACCAATCACTTTCTTCCAAATGGATTCGACCACACTTTTAATCCTACAAATCAAATATCAGAATACCAGCAGTTGAAAATTTAGACTGTTGGAGAAAAAAAAAACAACAGGTCTGCTATTCCAGCTTTTCTGCACTGAATTTGCAACTCTGCTTAAACTTGAAAAAATATACAGAAAGACAACCTCATCTTGATCTTAAACTTCAGATAATGGAAACATCTACCACATTCTTAGTTATTCACCTAGGTAAGGTATTCTAATATTATTGGATCAATCATTTAGAACTGCACCTTGCACTTAAATTTGTCTTAGTTTCCTTTTCAACTAATGGATCTCGAAACTTACCAGCAGCTAAACTCAGATGAAAAGAACTTACACTAAGAAGAACTGCATCTCAGAATGCAGAAGTACCTGCATCTCAGATAAATGAGCCAGTTCAGTCCTCTTGAATATTTAGTAAAAAAGACAGGTTTACATGACCTCTACTTCACAATACCCTTCCTACTTCTCTTCAGCATTTCACCCACTTCCCTGGAAAGCAAGTCCTGCATTAATAGTCTAACCAATGCATGTAATCAGCTTTAATCCTACTTGATTTTCACCTGCTACTGATGTTAGGCTTTTTCAAAAACAAAAATACATTACCATTTAACATATTCAGATATTACATGTTTCATCAAGACAGGCATTCTCACATCTTTAATCAAGAAATGCCAGCCTTGCGTGGCTGATGAACAGCCACTCCATTTAGCATTATGAAAAAATGAACTATCAAGGATAGCCTGCTATACTTGAATTTTACTTCCCTCATATGCTTTTCTAAGCTTTCCACTGTCAACAGCAAGAATCCAAAAGCTAATAGCACTGCATTCCAAATTTTCCTTCATGTGTAGTGGATTTCTGCATGGCCCATCCATCCATGAGGCCAGAAGGCCCTGCCAAAGTGCTGATGAGCTGTGTTTCAGCAGAGTTCAGTATTCCACAAAACTGAGGCGCAACTTTGTTCTTTATAGCTACAGCTCAGCCTATCCATGGTTCTCGTTTGCTCTGAGCTGGTTCAGAAGTGGAAACTGGCCTCTATTTAAGAAAGTGTGAAGACAACAGAAACTCTGCAACTTCTTTGGCCAGTTGAGTCATTTTAAGATGAGTTGCATTAAAACCGTAATTTTTCAGTGAGCAATTAGCCTGAAAAAAATAACTTAATGGCAAGTTTATTAAATATGTTTTCACTAAATGTATTCTTCACTGTATTATTTAAATCCATATAAATATTCAGGTCTTACTTCAAGAGGGTCCTTAAAACAATCAATGCAAACACATAAATCAAGTGTACCTGCAGGCTGAATATCCTCTTGAACAATACCAGCTCGGTTTATTGACTGTTCTTTCTCTGGAAAACAGAACAGAAAGGACACTACTAAAAAAAAGAAAATACCAGATGTCTTGATTGCACCCAGTAAAATAATCTTGAAAATTTTAATAATTCTAGATGCTACATGGTAAAATTCTATTGAGTATCTACCTACTGAATGTGAATGTAGTATTCCTACTTCACTGAGAAATGGGCCTGTTTTGGGAGACTACAAACAGTAAGATAGTCATCTTAAAACACTGCCTACTGTTTGATAAAGGTGCCAAAACACCTGCCACGGTCCCAGAACTTAAGGAATGACTAGTACTTTTAGAAGCTGTCATACACATGCTCATCATAAAACTAGTCAAAAGATTTTCTTCTTTAGGGCAATTCCCATTTTCAGGCCCTGAAAGACCTTGCAACCATATTTCGTGACAGCGCCTACAAAATTGCTGCTTGCAAACTTTGTGAAATACAGCATCTGAGGGATATTTTCCCATACACTGGGCCTGTCTCAGGCTTTTCTTTTTCCTTTGAGAGATTCAACCACTTCCACAAAGAGAAATGGAGAAAACTACACTATTTTCCCTTACTAAATGCCCCTCCTTTTCTTCCACTTCCAGTTACGCACTTTACCACCACAGTGGTAGTCTGAAGCAGGAAGTCAAAGCTCAGGTGGATTAACCTTTTGCACTTTGAACTTTTGAGGCCTTTAAAAACCTGCAGGGTGCACATTTGCAAAGGAAGCTCAGAACTAAGCTCAGCTTGAAACTGAAATTCTTCATTATCCTATCCCACTGGGAATGCACTGGCACTACATGCTATGAGGCTGTCTAGGCACAAGCCTAATGCTACTGGAGACTAGCTGAAATATCACAATAATTGATTCTCCTTGCAAGGGGACAGGCACTAGAGGCACATCCAGGTTCTCCACTGTTCACTGAGCATGGTAATTCCATTTCTTCCATTTCAGCAGACAAAATCTCAGGAATCAAAGGAAAGGGCACAAAACCCAAAAAGGGAGAACAGAACAGATTTGGGCAAGGAGACTTCCTGTAGGATATGAAGGAGAAGTGTTGGAGTTTGAGATACAGAGTGTGTGCCCTTGTTTCTAATACTTAGTTCTAAGATCCAAAGAAACACTGAATTTCATATAACATGAAATTCATGAGCATGTTTTCATGGTGATAGAACAAATGTTTAAGTTAGACAGAAAAAACTGAAAATGTACGTGTGTAGATTAGAAAGTTCCTTAAAGCACAGGGTGAAAAAGTAGTTTAGAGAGCAAAAGACAAGATGGAGGATGTAGGGTGTTGTCTCTTGTCTTTCTTCTTTCTTCATGTTCTTCTCCTAGAGGTTTTTGGGTAGTAGTAAGTGATTAGATAAAGAATGCCAAAATGCAGTACACAGGTGTTAGGTCATTGAGTCAATAAGAAAAATAATTTAGTTGGCATCTGTTAATTGAGTAAATGGACATATAAAAGACCTTGAAAAGGATCTTTTTAGCCATTTTACACCTTTCTATCATAGTGCACATAGCTCCTCGTTGCTTGTAATGCTGATAAGAAAAGAATAAACAACCAAGACCGAATAAGAGAAAATTGCCTCCCTCTCGTCAATCTTCAGTTCAAAGAGAAAAAGAACCTAACCCAAAAGTCCTTAACGAGACAGAGAAGGATATTCAGTCTTGAGTGGAAACTTAGATTAGAAGAGAGGCAGGGACAAAAACAGGAACTAATCTGAGAGTTCTGGGGACACACTTGGGTTGTGCTATTAGCAGCAGGAGCTGTTAAATGGTCAGGCAAAGAAACCAGTGCAAAAATGCAAGAGGTGATAAACACAGATAGGACACAGAACAGTCAATAGGGAGGCTGCTGTGGGGCCCACAATCAACTTGGAAGACAGGTTAGACAAAGAGAGGACAACAAGGAAGATTCAGTCTTGGTGACAGGAGAGCCACATCACAGGATGGGTAAGGAACAGTCTCACTATTCAGAAAACCAGGAAATCTGTGAAAATGTCACAAAGACCAACTGTCAAGCCACTGTTTTAGTTAATCCATGTGGAAAGTCTGTGCTGAGGGCCTCACAGTTTCATCATTGCCACTAAACTGTGTGTTTCATATGAGGAAACAGTCTTTTTTACAGCTAGATATAGGCAAGAAAATATTAGAAATGGCAAAGGCACAAACAACTATTAAAAACCTATGAAATTATATCATTTCTGTATGAAATTAAGTCTAACTCCTCTGTGCACTATTTACGGTTCATATCAACAATTTGATTATATACGGTTTTTCCAAGTAGCTTTCAACTTATTTGTTAAATTGCTAGGAATTCCTCTGAAGATGTTTGAGAATTGTGCCGTAAAGTCTTCCTGATCTACTTCACTTGTGTAGAATTTGGGAGATACACAGGAAAAACGAGAGTGAAGGAAGAAAAGATTGCATTTCATGATTCAGATTGCATTTCATAGTTCAATGTCAACCCAGGTAACTAAAATTCATTCTTGCCTTTTGCATGATTACTATGTGATGCTAATCAAAATGCCCAACTTTTGGGACACAGCATCCCCAAAGACAGAAATACTGAGTATTGACCCACAGCTCAAGCCAATAGAGGGTGGGAATTTCTACAGAAGTTGTCATACAGCTTACTAGACTGTAGTCAGAAAATCCTTTGTACCCCAAAAGTTTAATACTTTGGTTCAAAAACCACAACTGTACAAGTCCACAACCTTGCCTCAAGTATTGTGATAACAAATGCTTATCCCTCTCATACTGCAGTGATGAACATCAAGAAAAGCTGACTGGAAATGAATAAAGGTGATATCAGATGGAGACTCAGCTGCAGGTAATAAGTAAAGTTTAGAATCAGGTATCAAAGCACAAGTTTGTGCACTTGCTAAGTGTGCATCAATCGTTTTATATCCTAAATAGAGATTAAAAATCCCTCAACTGACAGGAAACATCTACTCACATAATTCACATGTACAAAGGAGGACATGCTCCACTACTGCCAAGCCACGTTTCTAACACAGCATTTTTGGAAAGTATAGTACAAACATAAAAGATTTAGTAATAAAGTTTTCAAAGGGAACACAGAGTAGGAAACATAATTGTGGGAAGTTTCACGTCCTTGAATAAAACCTTGCTTGTAAGTTAAATTTTACTTGAGCTCTAATGCAAGGCCAAAGCCCCTCCAATAAGATCACTAAGTTTGTTATCCTTTTTTCTTTTTCCTTCCTCGAAATCTTCACTTGTCTTGGCAGATTAACCACATATATCTTCATGTTATCAGCTTGCTTCGTTTCATAAAAATTAGAGGGGTCAAGGCTGGTTGCACCAGAACTTTCCCTCAACAGTATTTCCCAGAAGTTGAGGAGTTATGGGTGCTCCCCCTACGGAGCACCCACCTGGAGCCGCTGAGGCTTTACACCTGGAGCTGCAGGTGCTTTCGAGGGCTTCCTGGACAGAGTCACTTGTAGGCTTTTGCAGGTTTTCTGGCAGGCATTTCTGGAAGGAAAGCAGGGTTTTCCTCAGGAGTCAGCTTCAGAGACAATGCAGACTGAGAACAGCTCTAGCAAATCAACACAACTGGTTGCCAAGTTTTAAGTTAGATGTTCAGTTGCAGCTGGAAAACAGGACTTGAACTGCTCATCATTGAACTTGAACTGCATAAGTGAATATTCTGGGCTGGAAGGGACCTTTAAAGATCATCTAGCCCACCTCTCCTACACTGAGCAGGGACGTCTTCAGCTAGATCAAGTTGATCAGTCCTGTCGAACCTGATCTTGAATGTTTCCAGGAATGGGACACCCACCACTCCTCTGGGTAAGCTGTTCTAGTGGTTCAACACCACCATCATAAAAAAATGTATTTCTTCTATCTACTCTGAATTTATTCTGTCTAGCTTAGAACTATTACCTCTAGTCCTACTGCAACAGGCCCTACTAAGAAGTCTGCCCCAGATTGCTTACAAGCTCTCTTCAAGTGTTCTGCAAGGTTTTCCCAAAGCCCTTTCTTCTCCAGGCTGAAGAACCCCAACTCTCAGCCTTTCTGCATAGGAGAGGTGCTCCATCTCTATGATCTCAATCTCTTCAACTGCATCTCAATCCTCTAAGGAGCAGCTGAAGGCTAATCACGTGCTGGCCAATAACTTGAAATAAGAGTACGGCGAGCTGTATTATTTCGGTTTTCAGGTATCTCCTAGAGGAGCAGAAAGCCGCTCGGGAGTTACTCACCGAGCAGCAGCCCCAGCCTTCCCCCCAACCCGGGCACAGACCGCGCCATAGGCGAGCCCAGCCAGCTCCCCCCGCCCAGGGACTCACTGTACTCCTCCGGCAGCAGCAGCGGCCGGAAATAAATGGGGTAAAAGGCGGCTCCCACCACGGCCACGAAGGCGCCGAAGATGCCGAGCGTGCGGGACAGCCCGGCCATGGCCCGGCGGTGGCGGTGCGGGGCCTGCGCGGGGCCTTCCGGGACACGCACGAGCGGCGCGGGACGGCCGGCCCGGCGAAGGGGCGCCCCCGCGCGGCCGGCGGGGCGCAGTGCGGCACGGGGCTGGCGCGGCCGCGCTGTCAGCCCGGCCCGGGCAGCCCGAGAGGATGCGCCCCGGTCCCGCCGCCCCGCCCTAAAGCGCCTCGCCCGACAGCGGGCGCCGGCCCGGCCCGGGACTGCGCCGGTAGCGCAGCGCCGAGGCGGGAGGGCGGAAGCCTCCAAGGAGCCGCCAAGGGAGCGGGCAGGCGCGGCCCTGCGCGGGGAACCCTCCCGGGCGCGCCACTCCCGGGACGCCGTCCGGCGCCTGCTGTACGGAGCTGCGAGGAGCCTCTAAAGAGCTGCGCAACACGACCGGGCCTCGGCGTCTTCTGGCCCAGCCCATCCGCACCTGCGGCGGCGGAGCGGGCCCTGCCCTGGGCGGCGGCCCCTCCTCCAGGAAGCCGGATCTGCCGCATCCTTGTCGCCGGGCCGGCCGCGCTGTGCCTGCCGCGCTGGACACCGCCACAGCAGCAGCATGCGGCCCCCGGCCGAGCCCCGCCGCCTCCCTCCGCTGCTCCTCGCCCTCCTCACGGTGAGTGCCGCCGGCCCCGCACCTGCCCGCGCGTCCCGACCCAGCCCGGGCGTCGCGGCGGCCAAGGGCCGTACCCACAGCGAGCCGGAGTCCGGCGGTGCGCGGGGGGCTCGGGGCCGGGGCCGCCTCTCAGAGCCAGCCCCCCGCTGTCCGGCCTGGCTCTGCGCCCCCTTCCAGCCCCTAGCGTCACGCTGTCGTCGTCACATCCAGGGGTTAAGCTTTCTGCCCTGGGCGACGATAAACTTCCAGAGTGGAAAGAATGGGAGGCCTTTGACATCTGCTTACAGATGCACGACAGTGAGCATAGTGCTGCACTGGCTTACGGAAACAACCGTGGTTTAGGGCCATTTACTAAACTACTTTTTCATCCTTTTTCTTGCGAAGCATAAGCTTTGGTCAAAGTCTTTGTGTGGCGGTACCATGTTGGTGCTGATGGAGAGCAGCAGATCAGCACCCCTTTTGTGTCATGTCTTCTTTTCGCCTTAAAGTGAAAGCATCTTAAAGTGTAGCATGATGTGTTGGACATTTGCAGGTCAAGGACTGCGGTTATCTTCAGGTTTTGTGCAAACAGGTGCAGGTTTCACAGGGTTATGTGGAATTTCCACAGGGCTAAACTCATGGAGGGTCCTGTAGAAATCTCCAGCAAACTAAAGAGTTACTTGCTCAATAATTTCTGTATTATTACATTACTGAAAATGCTCAGTTTCCTAACACTTGCAGTGTTTGCCTCCCACATGGATTTTTATCCCATGGGATGTTGGGCTAATTCACTCAGATTCAGCAGCATTTAAGAAAAGAGAAAAAAAAACATTTACAGCTTTAATGGCTAAGTTGCCCCCCACAACAAAGCCTTTATGTCTGTCTTGTTTGCCTAGTTCATGATAATATTCTGAATCAGCGTAGCTGGCCTCTAGTGTGCTGGGAAACGTTTATTTTTAAGTCTCATAATCACATTCAACGTGCAATCTTTTCATCCTTGTTCTATGTCAGAGGTGATGTACATTTAACTCTGCCTTGTCTGATATAACAGAGCCTTCCTCACCAAGTAGGAACATTTAGGTGATACACACTCTATGCACTGTGTAATGGCAACCAAGTGGTAACAGAGGCTCAGCCATGGTCTGGAAGCTTATGGTCTGCAGTTTCTGCCAGGCCTCCATCAATGTGGGGCTGCTCAGACTTCTTTGCTCCATGCTGTTTACTGGATGAGCCTCCAGAAGGGGTGTTTGTTAGGTGGGATGTAACAGCAGATTCAAAACTACTTCATGCATTTTAGCAGCACAGGCCTCAATACCCAGGGACTAAAGAATACAAAGTAAAATGAGGAGCCGTTTAGCAGGTCAGGCACTACAGAGAAGGCACTAGATCAACAGAGCTGAAGCTAAACTTAGGCGTCAGCAGGTGTGTTGCATTGTGCTTAAGTGCTCTAGGAACATCATGGAAATTGTTCTACAAAGAACTGGGTTTGGGTTTCATAGCTTACTGCTTTGGAATTCCCACCACAAAGTTTCTGGCATTCACTGGAAGTCAGATGAACATATTCATACACTGCTGCATCTTTGTTAATGAACTGTGCCAGACCCAAGCTGTCTTTCCTGGAGTTTAGTTCCCACCTCTCGGGATAACCACTGAGAAAACTGAGAGCTGGCTGTGTGTGTTTTGACAGTGAGTGCATGTGTGTGGTAATCACACATTAGTACCCCTATGCTTTGTAGTATCTACCTGGTAGATTTTTCTTCTCATGAAAACTACATGGCATTGTGTTCCTAGTATATTACCATCTTCCTCATGACACAGCCCCCATATCACAAAGATTAAACTATTTACAAGTGCTCTTTGTTGTAAGATCAAGAGATACGAATGCTAACCATCAAGTACAGGAGGTTTAGAATAATTTGTTGCTGCTATGGGCTTTTGATGTTTTTGGAAGTATTTAAACCAAAGAAGAATTGTGTTGGAAATGTAAAAGAATAGTATCTTTTGTCAAGTCAAGCTCAGAAAGGTACTCAAATTAGTATTAAAATCAAGTCTCTCTCATCAACTTTTATCTCAATATTTGTGTATGTGTGTTATTCCTGCGTATGGTAGACACCATAATATGTGTTCCAATGGACACCAACCTCCTGTTGCTATTCCTTTTTTAGCTCCTTCAGTTTGCATAGTTTTTACAGTATCACAGAATCACAGAATATTCTGAGTGGGAAGGGACCCATAAGGATCATTGAGTCCAACTCTTTAAGTGAATGGCCCATAAAAGGAATCATATCCACAAGCTTGGCATTATTAGCACCATGTTCTAACAGATATGTATTTTGTGGAGTGGGAAATAAGGCAGAGAGGAAGGCTGTCGCTCTGATGAGATTGCCTATTGTAGAAAGCCAAAATACTGAGTTGCATACTGTTTTGTGGGGTTTTAGGGTTTTATTTGTTCAGGGTGTATATCTTGGTGCTTAGATGTGTTTATCGGTGTTCAACATCACTGCACATCTCACTTGCAATGTCTCTTGTCGGATACAAGAAGATAAAGAGCATTTTATTGCAGTTATGGAAAGCCGTTTAAGTTACATGTTCCCTAGGAATACAAAACAGATCTAGTCATCTAGAGCTACACATCTGCTCACAATGATATCTAGATTTTTCATCCAAAAAGTTCCCTCATTCAGTTACATCTTCCAGTAACTGCGCTTAATAAAGTCAAGGACTTGAAGTAAGCAGCACTTCTGTGCATAATTGCAGTCCACTAACAACCCTTGAGCTTGTTTGCACCTCTAAGGAGGCAGGGAGCTGGGGGAAAAATAGCATTTGATCACACATTTCATCAAAAAATAAAAAAATCTTCATCTCTAGGAACAAGGAAGTAGTATAGGACTTAGTTCTGACTTTTCCTAATATTTACACCTTTACAGGTCTTACTGGCTTGATGCTTTTTCAGTGTAGCTCTCAAGGAGTGTCAACATATTCTTAAGAAATAAAAAGCAAAATAGTTTATCATTGGGGACTTTTACTGATCCCCATATTGGATTCTGGGCAAGGTCTAGTTCTCCAGGTGCACAGCACATAATTTCTGTGATTAGCAATGTAGTAATGACTAGGCCGAACTTTTTTAATATTTTGAAAAACACAGTGAAAAAGCCATTAATCCAAGATAGGTATCCAAGATAAATTTTATTTCAATTTGTTTAATCTTAGCAAAGTTAAAGACATACCTCATTTTGAGCAAACCTGATGACGATCTTCCCTGATAATCCTAACTAGCAATTCTGAATATTTTAGACCAGAGAGTCTGGTGGAGCTGCTGTGCTGGTGACCTGCCCTCAGAGCTGAGCAATCCCCACTATCCTTGGCAGTGCATCAAGCTGGATGCTGACTGCAGGGCAGAAAGAAAAGAAGCTGAAGCCTTAGAGACAAGAACTTCAGCATAGTAGATAGTCCTATTTTATGTCCAGGTGCTCACTCTCAAAATATATATAATGTAGATACGTATTTATTTATTATTAATTTAATGTATTTTGCTCTCTGCGGAGAGCAAAAGCTGAGAAAATTCAGCCTGCTGGTCCTGTTGCTCTGATTTCCAAGTCCATCTTCAGGATAGGCGTATGTCAAAAATGAAACACTTCATGACTATTAATTCAGTCTCAGGAAACCTTTGTTGTTATTTTGTCCTTCAGGGACCTGCATGACAGGTAACAAAATTAGATAACTTTTTAAGAAGATGCAGAAACATGAGGCTGTGGCAATCCTAGCAAACAATGATACACAATGAATATATGCCAGTACATTTTCATGTACACTCCCTAGGCCTGATCCTAGGAGCACGTTTAAATAGTGTGACGTGTAAGTCACTATCTTAGACCGGATTCCACTTGCATAAGGGCTGAAGGATACGCCCTGTAAATACAGTTTGTTTGTAGAAGTATGTGTAACTTCGAGGACTTGGTATAGGGAAGTTGTTACCATTAAAGTCTTGATGGTGGCTCTCCAGTAATCCGTGTCTACTTGCTGGGTAAAAGAAACCTCATATTTTGAAGTTAAAGTATGGTATATAAATGTGATTGTGCAGTGTTCTGTTATTACTGTGAGTATATGAGTAATCACATAAACTTTGATTCTCTGGTTAACATGTTTGTGTTTTGGATTTTCTTTCAGAATTTTGTGCTGTGCTTTGGAAAGGAGACATTACGGACAACGGCAGTTACTCCACAGTTCCAGAAAAATATGGATTATGTAGATTTTATCTATTTAAACATTTTAGAAAAGAAAGTTCTTAACAATTCTGAGGTGTCAGTTCAGTATTTATGTTCTAAGCCTTGTATTGTCAATTTGGAAGCAGTAGCCTCCTCCGAGTTCAAGACTGGTGTACCAGTATATAGAAGGAGATGGAAGGATGAGAAGAACCTTTATGTTAGCAGAACTCGACAAGTACACTTGAAATTTCCAAGCATCATGGTTTACAGAGATGATTATATCATCAGAAACTCAATAATAGTGCACAGTGTGATACTGTATGCATGGATTATTCACAAATCAGCTAGCAACTATGATGATGAGCAGAATGAAGACTACCAGGCTGCAGTTGCCAAGAATTACACATTTTTAGAGGCAGTTCCGCCTTTTGAACGGCCATATAAAGACCACAAAGTTTGTCTTCAGTGGGGTGCTGACTACTTATGGATGCTTCAGGCCAATAGGATACCTCAGTGCCCTCATGAAAGTGGTAGGTGCAATGTCACTTTTTTCCCCCAAGGAAACAAATAACACCTCTGGTATGCTGTTAAAAAGGGCCTACTGGTAATAAATAGTAAATGTTACATATAGTGGTTTACTTGGGAGGCATTGTTG